CATGGGATGAGGTGTGGGGAAGGGAGGTGGGGAGACTGACCGGTGGATAAAGCCGAGGTTGTGAACGGCTTCGATGGCGAGTACACATTCTGCCATGTAGAAACGGGTCACGTCCTCCGAGAACGTGTCGTATTTGATGAGCATGGTCTGCGCCTGTTAGCGCACGTCGAGAAACATTGTAGAGTAGTTACCATTAGATCACCTCCAGGAAGGAACTGGACAAGACGTGAGAAAGGGATCGAGATAAGGAGGGGTGGCGTACCTCCATGACCAAGTATAGATAAGCGGAATCTTGGAACGAATAGAATAATTGCACGACCCAGGCTGAATTCGATTCGGCCAGGACATCACGTTCCGCACGAACATGTGCCAACTACTCTAGTCAGAAGCAGACCAGTAGCAAAGAGGATGGACTCGCCTGGTCTCGCTTCAACATTTCGTCTTTGCGCAACGACTTCATAGCATAAATCTTGCCCGTATCCAACTTTTGTACCAACCGGACCTGCACCTCGTCAACACCAGTCTACATGGATAAACCCAGCGGTCGCTCACCTCTCCAAAAGCACCCTTGCCAATGACCTTGACGGTCCTAAAGTCATCCAAACCAAGCTTGGTCCTCCTCAGCCTCAAGAACGTCGATTCTTTTTTTCCCGAGGGCTTGCAGTTGCCTCTGTCTCCGATCATCCGACATTGTAGGATCCGCGGCCAACTTGCGTTCCAATTCGACCCTCCTGCCCACACAAATCCATTAGCAAACATATTCCCCTTCAAAGACATCTATGGACGTCTTAATCATATATACGATCCCGTGGCTCTATCCCATAGACGAGATGAAACCAAGGGACAGGATGGAAGAACTACAAGGCACGCTCTCTCACCTGGTATTCCGCTCCACCGCCGCCTCGACTGCAAGTTTGTAGAAATGCTCGAGCTTGAGCTGAGCAGCCTTTGCTTTCGGGACCGCCTCTGGTGAGAAATCGGCGACAGATCTATTAAAGTAGACATAATCATCCGGCTGTCCACCACCACCACCACCATTGCTAGGTCCACTCGTATTACTATTGCCTCCTGCTTGTGCTTGTCTCCGGTCTCCAACTGGTGAAGACGTACCGCTCCCCCCACCTCCAGCACCAGGTCTCGATCCTGGTTGGCTATTGTTGCTGATCTGTCGTGGACGACCCTGTGCAGCAGGCGTATTCATCGTTTGCAATACGGAATTTCCAATACGATTTGACTTTTAACGAAGAGAGAAAGAGCGAGTGAATAAAAACTCGAAATGTGTTTCGAGGAAGGAGAGAGAGGTAAGCAAGAGAGAAGGGGAAAGGGCGGCGGGCGGTCAGTTGCCTTCTCCAGGCAGCAGGGAGCGAGCGATCTCACACCCGTTTCGAGAAGCCGCGATCTCCTGCCACCCCTGGCATATTCGACATATTGCGCACCGTAATTATCAGCATAATTTAACTTGATTTTGGTATTTTCTTAGGTTTACTTGGTCGAGTGGAGATTAGATGGGATGTATTAAGAATGCAAGAGAGGGCAGTGTCTGGCGTTTAGACGCAGATTGATATACAATTTGCAAGAAAAACAAAAAATATTGTGCTGTGCGCGACAAATAATACTCAATGACCCCAAAAAAGAAAAAGGAAAAAAGACACGATGGAATAGATAGTGGACAGCGCATAGAACACGCTTATAGGAATAAATAGAAGTGGAGAGGTATTTGGGAGATTTGAATTTGAGGGTGAATCCTGGATGAATGGAGAAACTCGTCCATGCGGCGTTTTTTGTTTTGTGGAGAAACAGCTCGGATTGGTCTAGAACGCCGGAGGGTAACAATATGAGGATGCACCAGGGAGATGAGTCAAAGGCAATGCAAAACGAGGTGGCCGGTGTGGATCCCCTTTTTTGTAGGCTGCATCCCTGCTGGTGGGGTGGTTCGACGCTCCAGTTTGAAAACCGCATGGGAGTGGTGCACCTTGGCTCCTCTCAATCGCTCATTGGATGTGGTGAGGATGCAAGTATTCACGATGCAAATACGAGATGGAATGTTTGGTAATCTCGTGGTCGCTCGAATATGGAGAGCTATTGTTACTCCTGGTTGGTGGACCTGCAGAATGGGACCTCCTAGCGCCCGTCTGCTTGGAGTCTTGAATGGGGTGAAGGGACGGTCGTACACCCATCAACAGGGTACTGGTTGAGGAGGGATTGATGGGTGACGGGAG